ATCGATTTTTTTTCAAATTGATTAAAATTTAAATAAAAAAAAGAAATAAATTTAATAAAAATAAAGTATAACTTCTTACGCGCGTACATAAGTACACGCACCCTTTTTTTTTAAGAATTGGCTCCAACGCCTTGGGCGTTGATTTTGCCAATGTTGAAGTCGAAGAAATAGTGCTCCAACGTACCCTCATCTTATCCAAACTGACTAAGAGAATGGTCTCGGACTCTAATTTTGGCAAGAAAAATTGGGGAGCAAACATGGCCAAGTCTAAGACGGATAATAGCAATAGACAAATATACATTTTTTAAGGAGTAATCGTCGGTAAAATCCGTTTAAACTAATCGCAGTCGTCCATCTAGAGACGATAATGTTAATGTTGCAATTACATTATCAGGTCTATTCTTTTCATTTCCTATCTTTCAACAAAAACGCGAATTACCCAGTGCAAATATCCAGGTGGACACTTTCCTGAGTATTTTCTCGGCATTTGAACAAGTAAGCCTCGGTATTAGTATTTTTTAATTATTAATATTATAAGTGGCCCAAAATTAAAACACAAGTATGGCTGTACCTCAACGTGATCATTAAAAAAAAAACTAAAAGTAAACTCAAGTTGATTTACACCGATTGACAACTCAAGTAACCGATCCAAATAATACGAGTACATTCACAACAATCAAAAATCCCCAGAACAACGCAACTAGCATTATTTATTTAAGGAGAATGTAAAAGAATGCGTAATTATAACGCTCGGCACGCAGGCCGCGTGAGCTTTTAAACAATTAAAAGAAAGGATGTATAGCGTTTTCAATTAAACTCGGAATCCAGTGGGGTTCTTACGTCTGGTACATGAGGGAATCTGGAGCGACGTTAGTTTAAACTACAAACCGTTTCAGTACACTGCGGTTGAACTGTAACAATAGGAGGTCAACTATTCTGCATAATGTAATCACGTTGAAGCATCACAAGTATTTTAACTAAATAACATTTCAATTTGTTATAATTGTGAACTATTTAGTATCTTGGAAATGGTTATTAAAATGTCGGTCGATGAAGCTCTCTACTAAGAAAAATATAAGCGTAGATGGATCAAAACAATGAGAAGACTACAAAAAAGATATGATCCTCAACTAAAAGCGAACGACTAAGAAGAAATACCTCTAGTAATCTCTATCAAAGATGAATAGCTCTCAGTTGAAATTAAGGCAATAGTACATTACAAATCGTTAATAAAAGTCTGCTTTAGAACAGTTATTTTGTTAACAGATGTTGAACATGGAACCGAAAGCAAATACAAAATCGGAACGTCGGAAATGCAGCTTGACTGACGCAAACATTAAGGTCTGTCAGTAAAACAAATTGAGTGAATTCCTTCTACAAATGTATGTGAACATTCTCGAATACTTGAAAAATAAGCAATTCTTGAATTTTAAAATAACGCTTAAATGCGTTATTCGCTTAAATACAGAGACATACACTAAGCTTCCAATACATAGCGTTTTAAACTCTAATGTATAATAGATAAATGTTTGTATTATATATCTGTATAATGGACACTGCAAAAGGCTTAGCAGATTGAAATGCTTTATTTTCTAGATTACGGCCTTTGTAATTTATTTTAAATTTTGTTTTATTGTATCGCTTACATCTAAAATCGCCGCTATAATTCACATTAAACATTATAAGAATGATCGATAGAATCTTAGATTGTTACGTAATCGTAAATTACATAAATACTAAATTTACGTAATCTGAAAATATGTATATTATATCTGTCATTACTAGAGGTCCCGCAGTAGTCGAAATTCGACTATAATTAATTGGAATTGTAAGTTTGTACACTATTATGATTGTATTTTATACTTCTACTAGCTGACCCGGCAAACGTTGTGTTGCCTTAAATAAGATTGCTAGGGAAATTCTACTGTAGAAAAAAAACCTCATTTAAACACATAATACCTCATTATAAACAAATAAAATATCCAAAAAATTAAAATTAAAAATAAATGTTTGGGGTAGACGGACAACCCTTTTCACTTAGGTATGAAAAATAGATAGTAGCCGATTCTCAGACCTACTGAACATACTATTGATACACAAATAAAACCAAAAAAACATGGCTGAGTAATGTATAGTATTGTATAGCTCTCAAATATAATAATATTAAGTGTATAATCTATGATGTATAGTGAGTAAGACAGGGACTTTTTGGCGGGAACGCGAGGAGTGAAGTTGTGTGATGTGTTTTATTTTGTCTATTTAGTGTTTCTTCGGGTTTAAATGTGTAATAATGGTGGTTTATTAACTGTTTAATATCTGTGAAAGTGCACAAATGTGGGAAAATGAAACAAAGCCGCTGGACGTAACTTCTCGGGATCCAAAAAAGTCCACTCAACAAAAGTAAATGACCACCATTTTCTGAGATTATATTTCATCTCATTTCATTTCATTTAATTTCATCCTAGTTGATTAATGTCTCAAATTAATCATCTTCATCTCATTTCACTTCATAATATCATTTTTCATAAAAATATGAATATAAATTAAAATAAGACATGACTTAAAGGTCTCAGTTACCAGGTCATAAAATCCCATAAAAAAAAAGTAAGACAGGAGACCGGCTTTGCCCTCATCCCTACTACGTGATGTTTGCTGGATGAGTGGTGACACCGGACGGGGATAGCTGATCGATTGATAGTTGATCAGTAGTCGACCGGCGAGGGCGGGAGATCAAATTGAATTTAAAAAAAATCATAATTAAAGGAACTTGAAATTATAAACTCTGAATAAGAATTTGTCGTACTACAATTATAATATTTGATTGCCATCTTGCAACCTTATTGCGGATCTGTGCATAGAATAAAAAAATATTAATCGGGATGGAAAAATAGGGGTTGATCGTATAAGAGTGAAAATTGAGAGTAATATGATTTTTTTTTATTTTAAGTCATGACAAATCAAAATAAAAAACTTGCCAAAAAAATTAAAGTTTATAATTAACAAATAAAAAATAGGGGTTGATCATAGAGGGATGAAAAATTGAGAGTAACATCCGATTTTTTATTTTAATTCATGACAAAATAAAAATAAAAATGAAAATCTTGCCAAAAAAATTAAAGTTTATAATTAACAAATAAAAAATAGGGGTTGATCGTAGAGGGGTGAAAATTTCAGAGTAATATGAATTTTTTTATTCTACGTCATGACAAAATAAAAACGAAATTCTCGCAAAAAAATTTAAAGTTTTTAATTAGCAAATCAAAAATAAGGGTTGATCGTAGAGGGATGAAAATTTAGGGTTGTATGTATTTTTGTATGTTGTATCATAAAAAAATAAAAACAAAAATTTTTGTCTAAAAAATAACAAATAAAATTTAGGGGTGGACTACCCCTAACATTTAGGGGGATGAAAAATAGATGTTGGCCGATTCTCATAGATACTGGATAAGCACAAAAAATTTCATCAAAATCGGTCAAGCCGTTTCGGAGGAGTATGGCAACGAAAACTGTGACACGAGAATTTTATATATTAGATAATCACAAATATCGCCAAGACTGCACTATAAAAAATATTAACAAAGACAAACAATATTTAATCTACTCTCAATTTGACAACAGACGTCAACAACAAAAGTTTGACAATAAATAAATAGTATGCATGCGTGTGTGCGTCAAATACATGATATGTAGTGTGTGTAATGTTTTCTTTATTGATTTAATGTATCTTTTATGCATTATTTAAAAAAAATCTTAGCATTGTGCACTTCTTCTCTATATTCTCTATAAGTGTGGAAAATTTCATATGCTCTTCCGTCCGCGCAATTTTCGTAAAAAGGGATACAAAGTTTTTGCTTCACGTATTATTAATATATATAAATACTGCGAAACCGTCGTGTTTACGTTTGGCCACTGACATTTGCAAACATTTTAATGTGTCCGCATTAGTTCGTCCGGAGGCAGGAAGAGAAAATTAATGCTTTCAAAGAGGCACGGAATGCTGGATATTAAGCTTTTCATCAAGCTCCCCATTAACGTCCAGGGCTTATTACTACTCGGCTTTCAGTTCGAAAACTTACCGCTGCCTTTAATTTACTAAGCCTTTACCGCGACATCGCGTCGTGAACTGTATTCAGAGCTCTATGCATTTTTGGGCAAAGTGACAATTCATGATTAATTTTTTTTTTTTGTATTTAAACTTATATAATGTAACATTAGAAGATAATGCCGCAGTTTATAAGACAAGGACTACGAATGAGTAAAATGTTATTCAGGCAAAATTCCTTAAAACTGTAGTCGAGATATTCACCGCCTTGATTTTCTTTGGTGATAACTCAATGAGTTATTAATTAATAAAATATAAAGTGTCAATTTTTATTATAAATTCTTTAAAAATGAAATTGTATTATAATATAGAAGATATCCTACCATAAATATCAATCCCTCGAAACAATATGAGTTGAGGTATAGAGACAGTTTTTCAATAACGTACAGAAAACTTTATCTATTATATTATAGCTCCTTTCTGTAAGTTTTTAAGGACAAAACTTACACTCGCTAAACCGTAGTTAAAGATTACGATTAAGTGTTAACTATTAGATAAAGACTACTTTTAAATTAATAATTCAATATTAATAACTAGATGAGTCTAAGCTCCAAATGAGCCCTTATGGAATTGAATTTTCAATGAAAAAGATAATGCGCAGTAGTTATTCAGTTTTAAGTAGGTAGTCTTAATTTATAATACAACTTTTGTTTATATACTCGGATAGAGTATAACGTAACGATATGAGATCGAATTCTTCACGATATAGTACAACACATGCCAATAATACAAACTCGGTAAAGCATAACTAATTCAGTTAGAAACAGATAAGATTGTGATATCAGCCCATGCGGGATCATAGCTCATAATATCTACATACAATCATTGGAATAACACTGCAAGTCTGAATCTGTGAATCAGAAAACTCGGAAACTCCGTTATAAAAACTGTTTCTCACCTGCAACAATAGTGAGTAAAGCAAATGTTGACACTAGAGGTAGTCCGCCGGTTTCCATGGAAACGGCTTTGGTGCGTCTCGGTATATCGCTCAGCATGACGTCACGGGACACGATTATAAATGCTGCCCAGTCTCACATTGCCTTCATGAAAATTCTTCTCTTTGCTCTTTTGCAAGACTTTTAAATAAATTTAAATAGCATTGTTTCCTCCTCTGCGCTTCAGGTTTTTTTTTATGTACAGGCTATTGTTAATTATAATAATCTCTTGCTTTTCCTTCGATGTTGCTATTCAATGAATCTGAAACAAACCAACGGATGAGGGTTTAGGAGAAGTTTAATAATAATAAAACAGGTGCACTAACAACGCTGCAGTGGGCTGTACGAGAGTGGATGTGTGCAGCACATGGTAGTTTTTTATTAGAGCAGTTTCCGCGGCACAGCGTGCGCAAACTGAGATAAAACAGGAATGATTGCCGCTCTGTCGCGATATTGTTTCAAGTGTTTTGTTCCATTCTGTTGGCTTCTCGGTGTTTTGCTCGTCGCGCTCAAACGGCGAACTCTTCCATAAAAACTATTCAACTGACTAAGCACTTTATAACGTGTTGAGAGATCGACCTTACAAAAACGTGACAATAAATTCAAGGAAACTTCTTAACGAACACTATTATTACCGGGACGCTTTTCACCTACGATCACACTCTCTCTTGCATTTGGGCACAACAATTTAAGAACTTTTTTTTTTATTGCTTAGATGGGTGGACGAGCTCACAACCCACCTGGTGTTGAGTGGTTACTGGAGCCCATAGACATCTACAACGTAAGTGCGCCACCCACCTTGAGATATAAGTTCTAAGATCTCAGTATAGTTACAACGGCTGCCCCACCCTTCAAACCGAAACGCATTACTGCTTCACGGCAGAAATAGGCAGGGCGGTGGTACCTACCCGCGCGGACTCACAAGAGGGCCTACCACCAGTAAAACTGCGGTAAAAAACCATCAGTACACCAGTAAAAAAAAGGAACTGCGCGAATAATTAGGTACGATTGTTCTAGACAATAAGTGTCATAAACTAAGGCAAATAGACATTGAACGATTATAAGTATTGTTCGAGAGCAGGAACAGAATAGTTCGCCCCGGGGAGTTTTCGACTCCGTCAATTGAAACATGGTCTCTGACGACGACGGCATTGGCGGCGTCTTTGCCGTGAGAACGAGCGCCGCGACAATAAACAATACAAACAACCCTGGCCTGCGTTTGACACCAGCCCGTTCGGAGTGGATTAGACCGTTCTACAGGGAGTTCGGCAGCATTTAGGGATCGTAATAGCCTTCCGCCGTGACCTGTTTTAGTTGCGACAAATAGAGATTTACGGGATTGCCGCCCGGGGATTTTACTGAGGTCTCTTTTCTATGTAATAAAACTGAATAGTGTTTGCTCTGCGGTTGTTTTATTCTCTGTAGATATCGCACCATTCCAATTTCGAAACGTTCAACATTTAATATTGGCGAGTTTTCATAACGTCCGAGTCATCCGACTGTCAATCGATTGTAGCCTTCTATCGCTCGACAGATACGGACAAAGTTTCCAACAATTTATTGCCGCTTGAAATATTATCGAAAAAATTACTGACAGCTAGTGTAATATGAGTACGAGATATTTTCCGATGAGACGCCATTGTTATTGAGTAAAAATGTATTAAAGTGAAATCTGCGTAAACGATATCACAAAACATAATTAGGTTCCGTCCGAAGTCGGGAATTCGGAGCTAATCGTATCAAACCTCATATTAGGAGCGAGTCGCCCTTAACCCTTGATATCGCTGAGCCGAAGCCCCATTTACGACATTCCTTTGCTTTATAATTTGACAAAGACGCCACGTTTTGTTATCGCACGAGTGGCACGCAGCCGATACGAGTTTTAGCAAGCCCCTACTGTTGCTCCTATTGTCGTGTTTACATTGTCTATGCTCATTTCGAAATTCCGATTATAACGCGAACCCGAATTAAATCGCTTTCGCGTAATAATATGGTATTTCTCGAGTCGCTAACTTATCTCCATGCAGGCATTGAACGTGCCTAAATAAATATTGTGGCTTTCATTCTCGGTGCACGATAATATGACTGAACAAGGTTTTCTGCTTTTGTTTAACTTTGTTCGCAGTTTCGAGTTTCTTTGTTGAGGATTTAAGTTCGGAAAAGTTTCGTAAGCAAGTTCGGTTCGCTACAACGGAAAAAAACTAAGATTATGAAGCTCGGGACTCAAATGAAAAGTTTATATTATTTTTTTAACTTCTACAGCTAGTAGATTATTTATTGAAGTAAGCTGCACTGCTATTGCTACTTTTATAATAGTTTTATAACTAAGCAATGGATCTTTACTGGTGGTAGGACGTCTTATGAGTCCGCATGGGTAGTTACCATCTCTCTGCCTATTTCTGCCATGAAGCAGTAATGCGTTTCGGTTTGAAGGGCGGGGCAGCCGTTGTAACTATACTGAGACCTTAGAACTTATATCTCAAGGTGGGTGGCGCACTTACATTGTAGATGTCCATGGGCTCCAGTAACCACTTAACACCGTATGGGCTGTGAGCTCGTCCACCCATCTAAGCAATAAATAAAAAAAAAAACATAAAAAATGATTCGACAATAAAAAAAATTATAACGAAGAACGCGTTCAACCTTTGCATTCTACAAATCTCGATTCGCAATTAAAAAAGTTAAATTGTCCGGTTAATTGCCGTCATTGCGGTGGACGGCGTCTGCTTATTATTCAGGATTCTTCCCTAAAATCTGATGAAAAATTTCGCCGAGGAACCGGTTGGTAAATCACAATAAGTAATTAGCTTATCTGTCGTCGTCACGCGGGTGCTCGGCAACGGGGCGGGGGTCGAAGCCGGCGGGTTCATGTCTTACGTTAAGCTCTCAGTATTAATCTTGACTCTGCTTAATAAACGAAGTGAAGAATTTGGATTAAATAAATCACGGCACGTGGATCCGTCGCCGACATTCAACTGTTTGTGTTCAATACGTCATTCTGACGCAATTAGGGTCGACCTTAAAAAAAAAAGTACAGTACCAAATTTCAAGTGACAAATTTGTATTTTTTTATAATTGAAGGAAACACAGCATCGAATGTATTTAATAGAAATAGTATGTTTGAAAATAACTCTTATATATTATAAAACACAAGCGAATTAAAATACAAAACGTTACTAGATAAAAAAACATTTTCTTACATTACATTCTTTGTGGGCAAAAACTTCGGTCGTTACCAGTGCTTCTTCTAAATTAGGGTTTAATTAAGTAGCAAATCCTTTTTGTAACTTTATAAAGAAATCTTATTGTTCTGTCAAAAACACGTCAAAAACGACTTTGGTTTTAAAAGCGTGAACAATTTAAAGATCAGTGAACTGAAATATTTTCTTTAATTGTCTAACTTCCATTGTATTTGCTCAGTCCCACAGAAATAACTTTCGATAGAAAACATTTATAGGAACATGTGGATTAGTATAATATTTGTATACAACATGTAACATATTTAACGCACACCCTCAAACACCCCAATTAGACTTTAATAGTATAAACGCTATGCATACACCAAATATTATTTATATGTGCGTTAACATTGATTATTTGTGAAATTAGTTATTCCCATTTCGTGGAAATAAAATGGTCACCGATTCACACTCCGCTGCGCACGCACACACAGACACCTACTCGCCGCGCCCCTTGTTCAATGCACTTTAATGACCGTTTTCGTATTTGTTGTTTTATTTTAGATAATACTGCAATGTCACTTTTCACTTTATCAAAGGCGGTTATTATCTTATTCTTTAGTTCTTCGGCACTTATTGTCTGTGTGTTATAAACTAGCGATTTAATTCGCCCCCACAAAAAAAAGTCGAGAGGCGTCAAATCAGCTGATCTAGGAGGTCACTGACCGAAAAGACATAGCGAAATACGGGAGATATTTTATTTGCACTATCACTTGACCTCTTATCGATAAGGTGGACGCGGCGTGACTGACTTGTCAAAAATATTTTGTTGACTTCGTTGTTTAGATTTTTCTTTGATCACCGCCGACGCAACCGCGTCGCCGCGAACATCGGGATTAGCCTGCCGTTTATTGTAAGAATATTATGCCGACGAAAGAAAGGGATAGTAATTATTTTTGTATTACGTGGTTTTCTTTTATGTATTGTAGTGTTGCTGTGTGCCGGCGGTTGGTATTGTGTGCGTAGGTATTTTATTTTGTAATAGACTATTAGCCTTGAAATAAGTATCAGATTTCTTTAATTAAATAATATTTTTTTTTACTAATTAGATATTTCATTTTAAAAAGTCTTAATACCCTGACTTACGTTCCATTTTCGTTTCTATGAACTGTTTAGCTAGCTGTGTAGGGTGACTGTAATTTACTTAGTTTTAACTAAATTTTAGAAAAAAAAATTGGTACATAAAAAACAATCAAAATCGATCCAGATTCCGATTCTGAACAAATTACTTTCAGGGTGTGCGTTAATTATGTTACATGTTGTATACTGATATATAGTATCATTCGTTAATCTTTTAATTTAAGCTTAAATGAATTATCTACTTTTTTCTTAAGTTTGTGACTACTGGTTGCCCTGAGTCACGCAAGAGCTACCCCGCAAAACCGACTATCGACTAAACCCCATCGAGCCCCACCACTCCGACTCCACGAAACCCACGGTACCGCATAGTACGCGCCGAAGGCTCGCCGTCGCCGGTACCTATCCTGATAATAGGACGGCACTCCATCCCCGGGAAAATCCTGCAGGACGTCGTCTCGGAGACACACCGTGAGCGGTGCACAGGAGCCACCTTGCGCCGCCTCACCACCGGACCGGACAGGAGATGAACGGGAGCTTCGCGCCCGTGCCGCTCACCCCGCCTTCTTCGCTGAGAAGCCGAAGAGGGATCCCACTCCCTTTCGCGCTCCTCAGCCTCACGGAACGCCATGACCAGGTCGCAAAACCTGATCATGGCCTCCCAAGAAAGGGCCCCTATGCCTGCTCCTACCGCTAGAGGTGCACACCTCTAATGAGAATGATAGAATTTATTAATAAGATTAC